TTCGTGGCGTAGGCTGTCAGCAAACACAGCATATTTTTGAATAATTCTTTCTTTAAACAAAAGCCCTACACTTACGACACGCTTTAGGTTATGTATTTTCACGTTATTTAACTTAAGGGATAAATAAATTGAAAGAACCCTTCATATGGGAAAGGGACAATAAACTACAAGGTGCCAACATCAAGGAAGCAAGGTTACCATGGTTTGTCATCATGTCATGTCATCTTGACATTTGCAATTGATAATTTGACAAATGTAAACAATGAAATAAAATTTTCATAATTTCATGCGGATGAAGCCGCACGAAAACAGCTAGTCTTAACTCAATTCTGACTGCAATCTTTTTTTATTAGTTATAATTGACAATAGCTTTTTCATTTTTATATGCTTTCTATCAATAATTCTTTAATAACGCGTGCCTGTTTTCTTATTTTCTTCTGTTTGTAGACAGATAGATAAAGCCTTTGATGGATGCCGTAATTAAAAAAATAACTGTTTACAAATCAAAAGTTCAACAAGGCAAAGGAGGTAACGTACGTGATCACCTCAAAAAGCGAACAACTGAAGCGAAGGTCGCCAAATCGACTTTGACCTCGAACACACGGGTCTTAGATTCAAGGTCACTGAGGTCAGATTAGGGCGCAGCCCGTTCTTGCCCAAAACGCGGGCTGCGACCTGGCCCGAGCTGCACGACCTACATCCGATTTGAATTTGAGAACGAACTGTGTAGCGATTTCATATCGATAGATGGCGTTTACATTAATTAAGTGAAAAACAGTTTCTTTCAATTAATGTAAAGAATAAGTAAAATACAATCAAATCATTGAAGAAATAGACACTTCTATTTTCTATCCTATGTATTTTAAATTTGAATGTAAAGGTAATGATTCTAATTTTAATTTTAACAAGAGAAAAACTTAGATCGATCATGGTCCTAAGGAATTCTAAAAGGTCTTTGATAATAAACAAGATTAGAATAAAATTAACTGATACAGTTTTATTGAATATGTTTATAAAACTGTGAAGAGTTAAGACTGTCCTATATTCTGTATTACATTTACGAAAAGCGTATTGTACTAAAAAACCTTAATACTTTCAAAGAATGTTTGACAACAATAAAGGTACAGTTCAAAAAACATGTCGAAATAAATTGAGGTATAAATTCTTTGTAGACTTTATGTACACTTTAAAAACTGGAATGTATTCTTACTATTGTTATCATTCTGCGGACCCTCCATCCTGAACGAAACTAAAGAAATCAACAAAAGGAAATAGCTGAAGGGGGCTTTTCAAACTGGCCACGTGGCTCGTGGAAATGGGTTACCTCGTATCGCTTTCAAAGACGCTATCGCCCCTCCCTTATCAGCATTAAGCGAATGACGGAGACAACATTATGAAATAGTACTGTAAATAACGCACCCTAAGACTATGATCACCAAGCGTTTACATTATTACAGATTTTCTCCATGGCTACGGTATCTCATAATATTGAAAAAAAAATGCGATTGTTAGACGATTTCCTTTGATCTTAATATATTTTATGCTATGGAGATTAATACATTTTACGTTAATTATTAGACAAGAAAGAATCTGAACAGGAGCAAGGAAAATAAATACAAGTCAAAAACAATTGCTCTTGCTTTCCCCATTTTTTTTCTAATGAAGTGTAGCGTAATATTGAAAGCTGTCCTGTTTTTTATAAAATAATAATGGCTACTGTACATAACGCGATATCATTTGATTCCAAACTAAGTTGTATTGTAGTAGACCAAACGGACCGACTGACAAACCGATTTGTTGCACTATCTATTTGTGGTTATTGTACGTTTTATCGACTATTTTTAGATAATAGTGTGGCCTAGCTTTTCAATTTAGTTTATTAACATACTAGCGGTTTCACCCCGCTTGCGGTGGGTGTTTTTTAAATAAATTGACATTTTTGAGTTTATTCTATACAAATAAATGACAAATATTTCCTCTTCATATTATTAGTGTAACGAATGCACAAAGTTCGTATTAAAGTGCTTCTATTTTGACTGCTAGAAAAGGCGATTAGGTAACCAATTATACGGTTAACTCTCACAATATTTTCTCAGTAGCACCACCGACTAGTATCGGACCCATCGGGGTTCAAGCGAGTTACCTTGCTGCCGAAGAGGAGATCCGAGTTATTTTAACGAATGGATAGAAGTATAGTTAGAAATAATAAAGCAAACAGGAAAAAGTATAGTAGCTGCACAGTAAAGGAAATAACAATAAATGACCCAAATTCACTGGTAATTCTTAAAAATTTAGATTTTGCTTACATTATCCTTGAAAATGAGCCGAAAATAGGTATGATAGACCTCCGAAAAGATTAGTATAAACGATATAAAGTATGGTAAAGTTTAAAAAAGATAAATTTACCATATGTAACTACTTCAGATTTTATACGAGCGGCAAAGGGTCTTGGGTATTTGTTATATAGTTGGTACGGTAAGCACGTACGAAGAGAGTTAACAAGCGGTATTGCCCACCTACGGCGTAACATGTAGTGAAATGAAAATATTTGAATTTCGAATTTTAACTTTTTTTCATTTAATATTAATGCTGGCATATACCATTTTTGTGACGTTATTTTTTAAATTCAGATATTTTAAGGTTATGACAATTTAAAGTTTGTTTTTTTTAAGAGAAGAAGTAAACATAAAGCGGGAACACCGATATGATCTTTATAAACCATGGACATCTAGAATAAGTTAGTTTAGAAAAGGTCTAAGTACAGCAATGAATTGACTAAGAATGGTATCATTCTTTAGTAATCGTCTTAAGGATATTTCTGTTGGTATGATTTTTTTTTTAATTTCAAACACGTGTTTATTAGTGGTCATTTAAGGAGATTTGTATAATTTCCTTTAAAACCATTGCCTAGTATTTATAGTTACGTAACGAATGTACAAGCGCTTTCCTCCGGCATATTTTAATGCGTGTTTTTTTTTTAATTATAGCTGACCTAATATTTTTTGCTTTACTATTTTTTTAATTAAAACTAAAGTTTTTAATATTTAAATGCCGTTGTGGACATTAGTAATGACTGGACTTAGAAATTTTCTGTACTCTAGTTTTATGTATATGTTAAGTCAAAGATTAATTAAATTCTATATAATATGAATGAATATTTTTTGTTTTTTACATATTTTAAATATTCATCACACTTTATTTTGCAATATGTACAAAACTACAAGATTTTCTATAGGATATAAAACGTTGTAATGACCATCTTCTAGTTAAGAGTAGGTTTTTACTGTCAAAATACTTGGATAAAAATATATTTAACTTTAAACTGTCGTGGTTTTTACAAATATATTATAATGTTCATAAGATACGGGTTTCTTACTACGATTGAATTGTTTTAGCTCCCGATATTTCGGTACAGTTGCATGCGCCATGTTCACGAGCTGATATCGGGCTGTATCTTACGAACTTTATAAAAATATATTGCCTTTCTTTTTACTCTTTTGAAAAAGAAAACAGTGACAATACTAATCTATTAAATTTTAATAAGGACGTTTCTTGATTACGTAAGTGATGTCTGTTTACAAAGTTTTAGTTACGAGTCGTAATCCTTGTGGAATTAAACATAAAAGTATTCTTCCAAAGTCTTGTGTTCTTCCAAACCATCCTCTACATCTATGCCAAATTTAACTTACATACATCCATCTAAACATTCGCATTTATAATATTAGTAAGATAAATGCGCAAGTTCGGATGTTCGTTACTACATACTACTACATACACTACTACATATCTAAAACAGCTTAACAAATCTCGACCAAAGTACAGATGTAGAATATAACATGAAAGAACAGATACGTTACTTTTTAATTCTGGTAGAAGTCGCGGTCTAAAACTAGTATACACGCATTTGTGATGTGCCAACGATTGTGTCATACTGACTACGGTTACGAAAGTATGCGTTACATTGTACCATCTAATCTATTACATAGAAACCAAGATACGACTCACTTTATATCAACTGTATTTGTACTGGCTGTTTTCTTATAAAATATAAATTCGATATGATATGATGGATTTTATAGGGAATAGATTATTATTTCGACTATTTCAAGTGCTTGTATGGATGAACATTATAAAGAAATAATCTATACTAATATAAAGAAAATTTTTTTTTTTATGTATTGAAATAACTCAAAAACTACTGGGCCGATTTAAAAAATTCTTTTACCATTAGACGGCTATGTTATCAGTGAGTAACGTAATCTATTTTTATATTATTTTTTAAATTTACGAGAGCAAAGTCACAACACTTATAATTGTGCGAACAGGCTTTTTAAACCTGGTGATTTATCATGTTTTTTACATTTTAGTGTTAGGGAATATATCTGTAGTCGTATTCAATTGAAATGAAGAATTTTATTAACATTGTACTGGCTGACAATTTCATTTGTTTTGGATCGTTTTTGTCTTTAAATTGATATAAACGCTTCTGTTTTTAATAAGTCTGTGACCACAGCGTTATAAAGTTAAAATTATTTAGATAGGTTAGTTATTTTTTTCCATTTCAATCGAATTCGACAATACATGGTGCATTAAAAATCACAATCGATTTTCAAATGTTTTATGAATTAAAGTTTTATTTAAATCACGAACAAGCCGGTAAAATATTTATAACCTAGACTTCCTACAGAATATTATAATTTTCCTTCATTTTGAGTACGTAAGTATTTCTGACTCGGGTAAAACAGTCACGAGTAAATTTACGTTTAACTAAGTAGCTTAAAAATAATTCGCATTCAATTACATTTCACATGACTCTTGTAAGTTAATTAAAAATAACCGCTTTAATAATTTTTAGTCAAAGAAAGCCGTTTCGTATTTCACATCTCGTTAAATAATGCATGTTATAACAACCGTTACATCACTAAACTTTCGAACTGGGGAAAATTTCGTATGCGCCAAGTTGTGTCACAACCTTAAGTAAAAAAATTGTCATATCAAACCTCGCGACATTCCAAATAAAAACCTCTATTTTATTTCAATTCATAAAATTCCTCACTAACACACATCACTATAACTGGCCGGTTGTGATTCACAGCACACACCACTAAAAACAATGCTTGTTTTTTTTAAACGCGGATATCTAATTTCGAAAATGCGCGCCGAATTCGTAAGGACCCGCTCACACCGAGATGTTGCAAGCGGGCCATCGAGGGAACAACTAGGAAATGAACACAGGCGCGTGGCACACCACCGAGCCTACCCACACTCAAACACGCCGTATACATACACACTCATGCATGTATTTAACAAGGTGCATGCGTTTTGACAGCACATGAGGGTCTATTTATAGGCCTACATTTATTGTATTAACATTAATTGTAGAAAACTAAATTGTTTACGCATTTACATTTCGACACTACTCGAGATGCAATAAGTGACAGAACAAAATTTCAGGTTCAATTTTAGTAGAGCTTATTTATTAAATTTTATTTTTCAAAGTAAATTTAATTAAAATAAATGTCAAATTAGACTTGCAGCTAAAACAATGTAGCGGTCCTAACAGAAAAATGTTACGCGGCTAAACAACAACCGTTATTACATAACAGAACGGGGGAACGAGATGCAGATAGTTTTATCGTAGCGTCAGAAAGGGATGTACTAGATTGTGTAACACAGGGAAAGCTCTATGCTTACTTTCTTTGTGAGACAACCACTATGCCGTCTTTGATTTCCCGATATGTGTGAGCAGGAAAATTTATGTGTGAGTGCCTTTACATTTTGCGTTCCGTACAAAAAAGCTTAAGTGCACGAATGTACTTTTTCAAAATGAACTCTGCACTATAGTAGCGAATATGCATTTTGAGTGCTGTCACGATTGTATTAAAGTCGGTTTTATTGCAGCACGTGGATGCCTGGCAGCTTTTTGAAGGAGTTCATTGACACATGGTTTGGCACGCTTCTTGAGCCTACTTATTTTTTCCACTATGACAGGCTGAAAAGTTCACAAAAGACGAGATATTTTCACAGAACTAAAAGTGGGGCATGCGTACTGAGATCCTGAAATTATGATCGATTTTTCCTTAAAATTAAAGGATAAAATTTTAAATTTGTTGAATGGAATCTTAAAATGCCGGTTTAATAATAATATGCTGTTAGTTACGAGAAATGACAAAATTGAGGTCATGAGTAATAAACTGAACATCGCTGAGGAAATGATTTAGCTACTTCATGACAGAGGGCGCTATTATTTATTGTTCTAATCATATACATTTCATAATTTTGTAAGATTTTATGATTAAATAGATTCACTCCTGACAAGAATTAGATTTGAAATTTAAAAATTCATATGAAAGAGACAAATAATTGAAAAATTTTTGCAGTTCATTAATAATAAAATAAAGTCTTTGGCTAGCCAAACAACGGATTTTGAAATTTTAAAGTCATTAAAAGAGTATTAATTAAGCTTTGTCTCAAAATAGATGCTTATACTGTAAATTGCTATTGCATCACACCGGAGGAAGTGAAATAACAGGCATAATATTTATATACCTATCTCTTCCCATCGCTATATCCTTTTCCTTGTCGCGCACATGTAACTCTCCGTTTGAATCGCGGAAGCGAACGACGTATGCTTGTGCTACTCTCACTTGCAGACTACGGTTATATCCGTCTCGCTCGTGAAGGCAACAGAGTGCGTTGACCTGTCCTTGTTGCATTAGTGTGCAGCCTTGCTTTACAGTTATACTCACTTGTTTGTATGTATTAAACGTGCATCGTAAAGTACGGTTCACACGAACTCGAATTTTTAAAGCTCATGTGAATATTTGAAAAATAATGTTTATGATTTTTGGAATTAATAAAAAATTCTACAATTCAAACCTTTGGGAAGCATTACTCGTTCTTACCTGAAAAATAAAAACAATAATTATCATTTTGTTATTTAATAGCAAAATTTTAACATTTAAAAATTATGCTCAATTTAAATTCGAATATTTATTTTCTATTATACCGTCGGTGCCTAAATAGTCGGCGAAATACTATTAAATAAAACCAATAGTGCGAACAATTCTTATAAAAAAATCATAAAATGTTTATGTCTTCCCCCTTACTTTGCTATGGATATAAAAAAGTTGCGTCAGAGTCCATAAAAAATGTCTGCGAGGCGTCAACGAGCATTACATCACTGTTCGGTGAGTCGCGTTAGTGTGCGTCACTCAAACACACGTCACACGTAGACACGTGTTGTACACACAGTGTGAATACAGACGCGTATGTGTGCACGGCCTAATCTTTTGTGGAATGCGGGTTTCATACCTTAATGAGTACTTTTTTAAAAGCGCTGAAAAGAGAAAATTCTTTGGACTGCCTCTGGCTTTCAGATTTTTTCCTCTTTACTTCTTTTACTACCATTTTATACACGGCAACTCATTTAAATACTCGCTTATTTTTTTAATTAATTTTCATATGCTTTTTTTAGGGAAAATGTACAAGGGCAATTTAAGTATGACTATTAAAGATGTCTCGAGTACTTAGAACTCTAATTATAATGTTATTTTATATTTTTACATCGTACATAAAAACATTTTAATGATATCTAGAAATTCAAAAATAAAATTACATTTATTAGTATTTACTTGTATGCAAAAGTTAACATAAAAACAAGATGGCATTTAATCCACGGCAAGAATAATTTTAATCGTTTGAAGATTATCATAATTATAGTAATTTGTATGGTACAGTGAAGCATCATTGCGGACAAATAATCAGATATTTATTATACACAAATTGTACTTGCATACTTTATATTTATTAATACTTATTTTCCCTCAATTAGTAATTAATATTGCAAATAAATAGATCCCTTTTGTCTCTTTTCCTTAACAGATAATGTGAAAGACTTACGTTAACTATCTTTTAGAAAAGAAAACAATAGAATATCTAATTTTCAGCCAGCATTTATAATTTCAAATGACCGATCAATTAACTCAACCATTGACAATCGTTTAAAAAAAATAAATTCGTAATTTAAATATAACTTTTTAAAACCTATAAAGAATTACGTACACTAACGTAATTCCGTTGCATTCTACAATTCAATCGATAAGCTTCGATAATAATTAGTGTTTGTTACATAGGAAATCGCGAAAACCTGACCTATTACAATACATTCGCAATGATCGCTGTGACGTGCGTTACGCGAACATAAGTGGCTATGTAATATAGTATATAGTTTGTATGAACTATCTTTACACGCGTGTATGTTATGTAACTATGTGCTATATACTTCTGATATGTCTAGTTTGTATGTATATCAGCAATATGACTTACATTTGCGAGCTTATTAAGACGAAAAAAAGGATGTACATTGTTTTAATAAGGCCGATGTTTTCATTAAATCCTATTTCCTCATTGTAATGATTGTTTTTAATCAGTATGATGAGTTCTTTATAAAAAATCTAATTATTAAATGGCAGAGTATCTACATTTCGCCGGAAACATATCATGTATTCCCCAAAACGATAAGTTTGTGCATAATACAAATATTTAATTAATGTCATGTTCAGAGTTTTTTAAATCTCTTCGTGTAAACATGAAAGGAGGCTAACGACCTAATTTATGTAACTAAGCGCGGTTCGGATACAGCGTTGATGAGTCAGTGTGTCAGTCAGTCAGGACTCCTTTATATATAGACCTAACGACATAGTTATGTCTCGTTTCTCATAGACAATAACGAATAAATAAATATTTATTGATAGCGTGTTCGTAATTACTACGTTTTGCTTTTTGTTTCGGCCAGTATCAATGTTTTTTTTATTGTAAACTATGATGTGGCTGGCAGGTAATTTTTAGCAATAGATTATGAGTGTTTAAAGTAACTTTTGAGAAAATTATGTAATTATAGAAATGTGGAAATATACAAAAAAGTTACTGCAATTTTTTTGAATTTCAGACATAAAAATTATTTTTCCTTTCGAAATAATAAAGTATTGTTTCTGGTTCTTTTTAAAAATACAGTTTATATTTTGCACTTTATTTTTATTTACTGTTGTGTTTTTGTAATCATTACGAATTAAACAATGGCGATGGCAATTTTTAAACGTGCAATGTTTTTCCAACATTTTGTGAATAGCTGTTTTATTCAGGAGAAAGTTTTTTTTTGCTGTTTCATGTATGCGACAATATGCTCGTATGTGTGGAAAATTACAGATTCATATTTCTCATTTATTCTTTTGTTAACTCTAGTTTTAGCTACATTTACAACTAAATGAACTAAGTCGAATATTAGTAGTAAAAAAAAAATTGCAGTTTTTATGTTACGTAACTGTGTTTAAGTTTTAAATAAATATGTTATGTCGTATATAATGATACATTACACACAATACAATTAATTCGGAAATAACATAACCATTCAACAAGAATTATAACTATTAATTTAATAAACTTTAAAACGGACACTATCGACGTTGTTGCTACTTAGTGTATAGTGTCATTCAAACTTATTAGCAGCTCGCTTTGAGGACACTGCGCGAAACCCAATTTTAGTCTTCGAGGGGAAGTAAAGGGACCATAAAAAGAACAACACTTATGTGCACGGTTGCTATTACCACAATGGACCTGACCCATCGAGAACTTACCGATGAAGATAAGAGCTTATAGCATTAGCTATACTACCTCGTGATTACTCGAGCAACTAAAACGATTGAATCTTAGAATATCTACGTTCACTTATATAACAGTCGCAACTCGATGTCCATGTAGAGAATTATGTGTAACCAGCCTAACGGGTATTTGTCTAACCATTTGCTAATTCTATACGGATTTATATTCAACACGTAGGTTTACTGCCGCTGTAACCTAGCCGGGCGGACCTATCTGCATAATTAGGTACTACGATTAGGCCTAAGTGCGTCACTAAAATTGGTCAATGTCGTATTTTTAATCATACACCATGATTAGAAAATGTATGAGCTATCGTGATAATTTGCAATAGTGTAAACATGTGCCATCTAGGTTTATACGTGCGTACCTTTTAAAATGATTTCACAACACTATCGCACGTCTGTTGATGCGTCTTGAAAAAATTAAATCACATAAAAACGTATACAGATAATAACACGTTTTACAGAAAGCGAGTCTCGATTTCCCGTGCGAAAATTCGCATAGTGTGCCAAAACGAAAAAAAAGCTTTTTTCTCTGACTGTACGCAGGCACGATGCCGCGGGTACTTCG